CCACTTGGAGGTAATGCCTCCTTAGAATCCAGTTTCTGACTTCTTCTCCACCGTCTCCTAGAGACACCAGGCCTGGCTGCTAGGCCTGGGCCCCTAGCTTCCTCCCTCCCGGCTTCTCCTCCTCTGGCTGCAGGGAGGGAGGAGTGCCCCTGAGCCACTGGCTTTGGATTTGATTGCATATGAAGTCACCTGAGGAGTTTCAAAAACTACTGACCATCAGATTCTGGTTTAATATGTATGGTTTTAGCCCAGCAGCAGAGCCTGCCCCTATAACGGGGCCCTAGGGTAAGGGAGACCCTGACTAATCACAGGAGAGCAGAGGCCCAGAGCCATGGAGAGTTATTGCAACCACATTTCTGTTCAATGCTTCAGCTTTCCCCACTCAGCAAGGGCTGCTCCTGGGCGGTGCTAAGCAAGTATTTGAACAGCACTTCATTCCTAAACCGGCAGTGGCCTGAGCTCCCAGGTTCAGAACCTCCTGCGGGGGATGGGCAGCCTTCTCAGCGTCTCCTTCAAGGCCAGCTACTGCAGGAGCCATAGAGCCGCTCGGAGCTCTGGCCTGGCTGTCCAGAGACTGCTACCGGCCCAGAAGTGTGAGCCTGGGGAAAGGGAAACACAACCGAAGGCGCAGGGGCTGGTCCCTCCTCCTAGCTTCCTCTCCAGGACACAGAGGCTCCTTTCTTTTCTGCGGTCCTTTTGCCTTTGTACTCTGGGCTCAGGGGAAGTTGAACCTGTGTCTATCCCTGTGAGATCCAGAGTGAGCTTTGGATTCAAGTTTCTCCATCCACCAAATGGGAATAGTAGGTCAGCTGCCTCCTGGGAGGAAGTGGAAGGCAGTACGGGGCTGGGGGACAAGATGAATACTCCACAGCACGGGCCTCACCCCAGGCCTGGGGTCGGCCTGGCTGTTCAGCTCTCAGAAGCATCTGGACAGACTCAGGGTCTTCACGTTCCTGGACCAAGTGTACTCTCTCATCCATTGACCCTTTTCTTTGCTCCAACATAGCTTCCCTGTTTTGGAGTTACACATTTACAAGGGAAATATGGCCTCCTCATGGCTTGCTCACAAAGGGAGCCAGGCCCATGCCTCCCCCAGCCACCCAGATCCCCTCCCCCAACCTAAGTGCTCTGACATCTGAGTAAGAAACGAGGCATCTGCCTGTGTCCAGGCAGGAACAGACCCGCCGGGCTGTCTCTGCTCATCCCGATCTCTATCATAAAGGACACATTCCCGAGGAGAGATACCACGCAGTCAGGGCTCTGGGTGCCGGGGTGCTGATCTCATGAAAGGCAGTGGGAAAAGGAGCAATGCGGGCAGCAGAGGCAGCAAAGAAGAGCTGACGAATGTGGCCATCGTTCATCCAAGGCAAACCCTTGCAGAGGGGTCAGGAGGGCCCACCCTTCTCACTTCCTGGTTTCATGGCCACTCAGCCCCACCTGAACTCTGAGTCACCAACCAGGACAGTTAAACCAGGGTCCCCTGTCCTGCCTCCGGCAGCCTAGTCAGTGCTAATAGCCTGCAGGGGAGAGGGCGGCCCGTTGCACCATCTCCCCCGTGTGCAAGGAAGTTTCCAAACCAAAGCAACCTTCAGACTCAGCTACAGTTGCCCAGTTAAAACATTCTCAACTCCAGACCCTCCCTCAGTCAACTTCTTGTCAGGACCAAGTGTGGGGCCCCAACTTGTCTGTGGCTTGAGGATCCAGCTCTGACTTGTGGGAGCTCTGAGGTGCAGGAAGTTCCGTTCCTGAGGAGTTCCTGGGTCCCCACAGCTTTGGACATTAAGGCCACAGCAAAGCATGGTGACCAGGGCAGTCATGGGATGGGGGCTTCTACCAGTTGGTCAGTGTGACCCCGTGGTGGGAGGTGCCCATTCCTGTCTCCCAGGGGCTTAAGCTGCTCCCACTGCCCCCACATCAGGTGACCAGCTTCTTTGGGTGATGCTGCTGGATAGTGGGTCTCTGTCCAGCTACTCTTCTGGAACCACAGGCCCTTTTACCATCTACCATCCCTGATATTTCCCAGGCCCCACCCATCCAAGTTCCCCTCAAGTCTTTCCCTTTTCTCGTCCTCTCCCCGCTCTCTGCATCTCTCCCTCTTTATGGTGACCTTCTCCTCCCCTTTCCTGCTGCCAGAGGACTGAGGCCACCTTTCCTCCCAGCACAGTGGTCAGGGGCCTGACTAGCAGGTCTCTCTCTGAATCTGCAGGGAACCCAGAGGCGAGCATCACAGAGGCCCAAGCCCCTCCCTGTGGAGGGGGGGGGGGCATTTTCTACTCCTTCCTATGAGCCACCTCCCCACCTCCCCGCCCACCACAGAAATTAAATGGGGTGGAGGGAGTGCTTCTTCACACACACACACACACACACACACACACACACCCCAGAATGTCAGTTTACAATAAGACAAAGACTCAAGCAAATTATAACTAATAAGATTCAGCAAGTTTGCCAGCTACAGGATCAGCCTGCACAGATTAACAGCGTCTCTCCCACCCACAACAGCTACTAGAAAATATTACTAAAAGGAAACCATTCACAGTAGCAATAAGGATCACAAAGTATCTGGCATTAACACTAACACTGCCTTATAAACTTTACGCTTTTTAATAAAGGAAGCAAAATGATCTGAATAAGTAGAGTACTTCCCATGTTATTTAGGATGACCTAATACAGAATGCCTCATCTTGGATGGCTTTATTAAGACCTAATTAAATTAATGATTAACTTACCAATTCCGTGCAATTCCGTTCAAAATTCCAATTGTATTTCTTTTTGAGGAACTCATTACATCATTAGGGTAATGTTATTTGTTTTTCCTTTTTGTCTGTTGTACGCAGTTTATTTAACAATATGATATATGAGTGGGTACTTTCCATCCTATAAGGGATTGATCTTTTTGAGTTTCCTTTTTCATGGCAGTTATAACACTTGCATGATTGACACTAGAATTGCTTTTTCTCACTTCAAGTTTCACATAGAAGAGAGAATGCTCTTCTCCATTAACATGAGCATGGTCTAGGAGAGTGATCCTATTTTTTTTTTGTCTAAAACCAGTTTATCAGAGAAACAAAGCAACATTTTCTGTATCTGCTGGATAAGAGTTTATCTTAAGCCAGCATGTCCCGATGCCTGTGTGGGAGTGTGTGTGTGTGTGTGTGTGTGTGTGTGTGTGCACGCAGGAGCCAGTTCCTATCAACCAGGGGTAACAGTGCTGGAAGAACGCCCAGAGTTCACAATAGAAAAAATCTCCCACGACATCAGAAAGTTGTCGGGATACACCATAAGCCTGCATTATTTCAGGTATCAGTTTCTGGATATTATTTTTTCTTCTCACTTTTAAACAAATATTTAAAATCATAAAAATAAAAATATGGGTATAATAGACTTGATTTTCCCATTAAAAAAGGCTTGAATCACCAGCAGTGATGACAAAAAAATCCAAAAAAATCCAAAATTCTCTCCCCCAAGAACAAAAAATTTTTTTAAAAAGCAAAGAGAGCCCAAACCGGTTTGGCTCAGTGGATTGAGCGTCAGCCTGCAGACTGAAAGGTCCCAGGTTCCATTCCGGTCAAGGGGCGTGTACCTTGGTTGCAGGCACATCCCCAGTAAGGGAGTGTGCAAGAGGCAGCTGATCAATGATTCTCTCTCATCGATGTTTCTAATTCTCTATCCCTCTCTTTTCCTCTCTGTAAAAAATCAATAAAATATATATTTTAAAAAAAATAAAAAGTAAAGAGAGCCCTGACCAGTTTTGGCTCCTTTCCTCTCTGTAAAAAATAAATAAAATATATTTTAAAAAGCAAAGAGAGACCAGATATTTAAATCAGCTGTTTTGGTTTTTTGTGTTTTTTTTTGTTTTTAAACAAAAATCTATGCTTTTTATCGTTTCTTTAAGTAGCAATCTACCCTTCCGTGGCTTGGAAGTAGCAGTTTCATCTCCTTTTTATAGGAATAAAAAGAGCTGAGATTCTTGGCTTTCAGTACAGAGTCCCAGAACATACGAGGGGGGGAAAGTGACGCCCTCACAATGCTACAAATCCTCCACCAACTTTTCTAGGGAGTCTGCGGTGGTGTCACCCACCAGGGACAGCTCACCGGGCAGTGCACTCCTGTGGGGATCCTCAGCTGTGGTAGCATTGCGTGTCTGGGGTTCCCCACGTGCCCCTGATCTACGGAGCTGGCCATGGTGCCTGGGAATCCTGGGCGGGGAGAACCAGTCTGGGGGGAGACGTGGTGTGGTGAAGGCTGGAGCGAATCCGTGGTGATGGGCTGGAATGTGGAGGCTGGGACTGGGGTCTGGAGACTGGCCTGGGGCCGGAGATCGCACCTGGCTACCGAGGGATGTGGCCGTCTGTCTGCTGGCCAGCGAGGGGGGCCTGTGGCTCTGAGGGCATGTGCCGCTGGGGCTCTTGGGGTTTGTGAGGACAGGAAACAGGCCAAGAGACGTTGTTGGAACTTTAGAGATTTTATTGGTAATACACACCAGTATATCCATTTCAGCAAGCAAGGGTAGGGAGGGCGGGATATTTATGAGCCTGTGTGGGTCGGATGTAGGTGCAGGCGGTGGCAGGAAGCTGGGCCTAGAGCTGCTTTTCTCGGCTGCTTAGCTGTCTCTTGTGACACCTGGAATGAGAGTAACAGGAACACGGCAGAGGGGGCAGGAGCCTCCTGCTGTTGGTGCTCAGGCGGGGCAGGTGCCGCTCCTGCTGCACCTCCCGTGCGATCTGCCGGCTCCTCCCTGGCTGCCTGCCGTGGGCCTGCGCGGGGGCGGGGGGCCAGCACCTGGCTAGTGGGCTTCCCGGTGCAAACTGCGGTGGGGGCTGAGTTCTGGCCACGCGGGAGAACCGAGAGACATGCTCACAGGCGAGGGCTGGGGCAGGGTCGGGGGCTGTGGTGTGCAGGGGCTGGGATGCAGTGTGCGGGGCCGGGGCGGTGCAGGGGAGGGGGAGGCACACTCGGCAGGGGCTCGGCGCTGCTGGCGGCATCCGCGGGCGCGGGAGCTAGGCGTGCTGCCGGCGGTACTGGATCTCCTGCTGGCGGAGCTTCTGCTTGATGTTGAGGCAGTAGGGCACGGGGCACGGGTTTTCCTGGCAGTGCTTGGCGTGGTAGCAGCACAGGGCGATGAACTGCTTGCACACGCCGCAGCCTCCGTTGTTCTTGCGCTGGCAGGCCTTGGTGTGCTCCATGACCCGCTTCATCTTCAGGCAGGTGGGCAGCGGGCAGCCGGCGTTGCGGCACTGGCGGGCGTGCCGCAGGGACTGGATGCAGCGCTGGATGGCGTGGCGCCGCCACTCCCGGAGGCTCCTGAACTGCGGCTCCCCCTGGTTGCCGCTATCATCCAGGCCCAGCCCCACCTTCACCATCTCGTGGGGGTGGCCCTTGGCGGCGTAGCAGCCGATGCAAAGGTCGTAGGTGCACTGGGGGCAGTGCCAGCGGGTCTCCATCTGCTTCTGGCACTCTCCGCAGGTGTGGACACAGAGGTCCTGAGCCAGCACCCCCGCCATCGCTAAAGGTGACTAGAAAAGAGCAGAGAGAGGAGAGCCTCGGTCAGCAAACACCTACAAAACCTCAGAAATAACAGGGTGGTGCCGGCTCTGTCAGAGCCAAGCCAGGGCCCCAGGGCAGAAACGCCATTTCACCTGCACACTTACCTTCCCAGTGGGCCAACCCACAAGTCACGGGTTTGTCGGGCTACTTGCTACACTCCTACGTCCTAACAGGTGAGCCTAAGGAACAGCCGCACGAGCACCTTGGGGTTCCTGAGTGACCGGGATGAACTACAAAAAGGGGGCTCCGTGGAGAGAACGGCACTGGCTGCTCCACAGGCCGCACGGTGTGAGCTTCCTCCTTAAGTCGGCGGTAACTACCTTGTCTGTGAGGCAGGAAACTGAGGCAGGCGGGTGCACAAAGCACAGGGCGCCGTCTCTTCCCAGGTGAACAGTTGTGTCGCTACTGAGAGGACCAGCTCCCACCGCCTGAGCGCACCCCTGAGCTTGGACTGCGCGCTAAGGGGATGCACTCAGGCTGAGACCAAACACCAAGGATTCCACCAAACAGCCCCATTCTGAGCATCTGGCAACTATTACCCCTACAAACCCACCCAGACGTTCAGCTCCCCTACTCTCTTATCAAACAACCTCAGAAACTGTCCTTTAGGCCAAAACCGGTTTGGCTCAGTGGATAGAGCGTCAGCCTGTGGACTGAAGGGTCCCAGGTTCGATTCCGGTCAAGGGCATGTACGTTAGTTGCGGGCACATCCCCAGTAGCGGGTGTGCAGGAGGTAGCTGATCGATGATTCTCTCTCATCGATGTTTCTAACTCTCTATCCCTCTCTCTTCCTTTCTGTAAAAAAAATAAATTATATATATATATATATAAACTGTCCTTTAGGTCATTTGGCCTCTGACAGTCGCTTCGGCTTAGACCACATTCCCTTTGCTAAGACCTGTCGCTTTCCGTTCCATCCGTGCCCAGGGTCCTGACCCGCCCAGAGAATTTCCCACAGGAAAAGCCCCTTTAGAGTCTTTTAAAACCTCTGGCACCATTTGGGGATTGAGCCTATCTGCTTTCCAGAAGAGGATGATCAATTAATTTATAATTCTCTATCACTTTGGCTCTCGTGCCCGTTAGGTCTGATCAAATAATTAAATTGATACCCCTCTCGCGGGAAACTGACCTAAAGATCATTTTGCAGCCGACATTCCCTTCAGCTTAGACCGCATTCCACTTGCTAAGACCCAGTCACTTTCCCCTCCGGACCCGCCCAGAGAATTCCCGACGGGGAAAAAGCCCCCCTTTAAAGTCAGTCTTTAAAAACTCTGACTCCCGGATCTCCGGGTGCTGGCACCATTAGGGGGTCGGCCCATCTACTTTCTACATGACCTAGTAAATTTTTACCTCTTTTGTCCTCGTGCAGTTCCTCCTCCGCTCCTTCGCTCCTTCTGTGACCAGAATGGATGCCTCCAAGCTTTAAGAAGGAAGACAACTGGCAAAACTTCCTGGTTCCTTTTAAGCATCTGCCTAAAGGCAAAAATTCCTGAAGAAATGCGGGATCGGCTCCTCCCCCTGCTGCCTCCACCCTCCTCCTCCTCGCCTCCCCTCCCTTCCCCCAGCCCCGCACTGGGATCTCCAGGGTGTGCATTCCTCCCAGAAGCCTGGGACAACAGATTTGGGTTTGTTATCTGGTTGGGGCCACATACAGAGACATTTCCAGTCCTGGGTTAGGAGACTGAAGCTCATGCAGGGGTGACTAGCCTGGTTACCTCCCTAACCAGTGGCAGAGCAGTCACTGAGAGCTCAGTTGGGTTGGATGAAAACAAAATCAGACATGGGGCATAACTCCTGGCATATGGACTAATTTTGATTTAATTTTTTCATTTGTTAAATGCATCCATCAGACTGCTGTGATACGATTGACTGTAGGTTTGGAAAAACTCAGGTTTGTGTTTACATGTATGCACCCATCCCATACATACTTCAGTAGGAAAGCCCATTCTAAAGCTTATTAGAACGAAAACAATCACGTTTCCCAAAAGTAGGGAAGTAACTTTAGTTCTGTTGGCATTCCAGTGCACGGGCCAAGCAGTTTGAGCCTCTGGTTTCTAGATGTGCTTAGATTTCGAGAGGAAAATAAGTAACATGGAAGGCATTTCCCAGAAGAAAAATTCAAGTTGTTGCTCAATTATAATATTAGAAACACAAAAACGATCTCACTAAAATATATGGCATAAAAATCAGATCTCATCAATTCTGTTTCCACTCTCTCTGCCTATTGCCATTCACCCAGTGTTTCTATAAAGTAAAGCCTTTCCTCCTGGTTTTAGCAGGAGTGGTCTAGGTTGTGCTGTATTAACAAGCAAACCCCAAATCACTGAGGCTTAGATCTTGATCATTGTTGAAGCTAAGTAATGGGTATAGCAGTTTCGATATACTATTATCTCTGCTTTTTTATAGGTATGGGGTTTTTTTTGTTTTGTTTTGTTTTGTTTTGTAATAAATGTTTTTTTTTTAAAACTCCGTGGCTTAAAGCAACAGAATTCTGGGGTTTTTTGCTCACACTACATGTCCATCAAGGATCAGTTAGGTCTCTATTCCTCTACTGCACTCTGCCTCAGTGAGAGACAGGCCAGCAAGCTTTTCCCATCAGGGCTGTGCTGGTTACACGCGGAGGAAAAGGAGCATGCAGGAGCCCTGTGATGGTTCCTGAGGCTTTGTGTGGGAGTTAAGTATCACGGTGTTCTCCTCTCATTGGCAAGGGAAGTCTCCTGGCCACACTTAACTCCAGGGGCTTGGAAACTACGATCCTACTGTGTGCTCAGCAGAAGTAAAACTGCATCTACTTGGTGAGCAGCACTAATACTTGTCACAGCCCTGAAGAGATGTGAATCCGGGAATTAAAGGTTAAGAGGTGCTCTCATATGCCATCGTTCTCCCCAGTGGGTTCATCCCAAAACAAAATCACTCAGCTTTCTTGTTTGGGATAAAACACTCAAATCTATACCAGGAACAGGAGTCCCACAGTATCAGGAACAGCTTATCTGTCTCCACCTTTCCATACAGAGCGCCCTGTCTTGTCTCTATCAGCTGCTGAAATAAGATTTGCTGAACTAAAGGAAACTGGGGCAAGCAGTGTGCATCACCAGCCATCCCTTAGAGTGCCATTTCTCATCTTATTTGACCAAACTCTATGACCTCCCCAGGCAGAGCAGGGAGGGCCGGGTGCTTTTCCAGTTCACTGGGTTATGGAGGCTGTTGTGGGTGGCCAGGCTTTCTCATCTGAGAGCCTTGAGCTTGAACTCACCAATGTCAGGGACTCCAGGAGGGAGCCTCAGGATCAGACTACCCCAATAATGCATCTCACAGGAGAGGAAACTGAACCCCAAAGAAAGTAATCACTTCTGTTTGCTTTAGGAGTAGATGGCCTCCTTAGAATCCAGTTCTGTCTTCCTCACCCACTCCTAGGCCTTCACCAGGCCTTGCTGTGAGGGCTGGGCCTCTAGGCCCTCTCTCTCGGCTTCTCCAGGTCTGGCTGCCAGGGAGGGATACGGGCCTCTAAGCCACTGGCCTGTGCTGTATGCTACATCGCTGACCTCAATAATCCAGGGGGTGAGGGGACAGTGATACTGTCTTAATTTTGCAGGTGAAAAACAGAGGCTCAGAACAGCTCAGGGCCTTGAGGCCAGGCAGCTATCGCTAGAGAGGATCAGAATCCACCCTGCGCTCTGTCGTCTTCAGCCTGACTTGTTTGCTCTGGGGACTTCCAGACGCCTTTGCTAGCACCGTCCAGCCCAGGCCTTCCCCATCTGCTTCCTGAAATGCTGTAATAGCTTCCCAGTTATCCTTTGCATCTACTCTTTAAAAAATCCGTTCTTACTGATATTAGAGGGAGAAGAGGGGGGAGAGAGAAACATCGATGTGAGAAACACTGATTGGTTGCCTCCCCGACTAGAGATTGAACCCCCAACCTGAGTATGTGCCCTGACTGGGAATCAAACTGGTGACCCTTCAGTGCATGAGTCAACGCTCAGCCAACTGAGCCACAGCAGCCAGAGCTGCCTCCACTCCACTCTGCGCCAACTTGCCGGTGTCCCGCTGCTGTGTCATTCTCCCATAGTGCCCGGCGAGGACGCTGAAACACTCCCCTCCGTCTCCAACACAACCGCCGCACACCTAGACACTCAGATGTGGTGAGCCAACATCTCCCACTTACTGAGTGCTGCGTGCCCTGCTTTATATACACGTTGCACTTAATGCTCACAATAAAATGAGGTTCATCGATTTTTTCAGATCCCCAGGGAGGCCAAAGTGAAAGCCAAAGTGGGACTGTGGATACTTCTCGGTAAAGGAAGCCTGGACTGGGATCCCAAGGCCCCTTCCAGCTGTGTACCATCCTATGAGCCGGGGGCCACTGTATCCTCAAGCCTCCCCGTCAGCCACAGGGTGGGCCTGGCTTCGATTCTTCCCGACAAACAAGATGTGAAATGGCACCATCGTCCTTGGATGTCTGCTTTCCAAATGTATTGTTTTAGCCGCGCTGGTCTACGCAGCACCCCGAGTTCTCCTAGAGCCTCCCGGGGGCTCCAGGCAGATAGAGATCCTGTTCCCTTCCTCCTCAAGGCTCAGACCCCGCTCCTCCTCTTCCTCCCCCGTTGCCTGGGGGAGAGAGTCAGCTGAGTTCCTCTCCTGTGAGCTTGCAGCCTGAGGCAGGCCCTGGACATGGCCGAACTGGAGCCCGGAATGACGTGACCTCCCTTTTGATGTCTGATTTCAAAGCACAGGTCTGAGATTCTATCCTACCTGCACATTTCTGAGCCTTCATTTCATTTTCCATCCCCGCCTTAAGCATTCCAGTCTGCCCATTCCAATCTCACTCCCCCTCCCCGCGCGCCTTCTCCTGCCCTCCCACAACCTCTCATCCTCTGTCTTTTTTTTTTTTTTTAAAGATATTTCACAGTTGAAAAAAGAAACACATAAAAATTAAGACTGTTCCTTGTGATAAGAAAGC